AAAGGAAACTAAGCTTATATAATTATGCTATTTGTCTGTCAGTCCCAGACTGATGTGTTCAGAAACACATGGCTGATTTCAACCAAATCTAACAGAGAGGAGATGTCTCAAGAATAATGATGTTCCTGTTTTTTTTTTTAATCCGTGATTATGCAATGAAGAAAGAGTTCAGGGTTAAAATTTGAGGTAAGAGACATAGAAGAGTTTGGTTAATAGCTGAATCCAGAAAGACAGGGAATGTTATGAGTTTTAGACGGTTTCCATGTTATTTCTGAGATAGGTGTCTCATATGTTCATAACCTGAAATCTGAAGTACCTCCAACTCCAAACCTTCACTTAGCTTCGACCCTACCATTACATACTTGTGACTTCAGTTCCTGCCTATAAACTGAAGATACAGATATTCTGTACAAAGCTTGCGTGCTATCCTTCATAGGATTTGGGAAAGCGATGCAGAAATTATTTACAACTCTCCATGTAGCACTCTAGCTTTTTACTTTCTGTTTTCTTACCTTGCATCTAGTGAGTTTTACTATTCTGGCCCCGTGCATGGTACTGTAGGAGACTGCACTATAGGGAAAAAGCTCTTCTTTTTTTTTCCCTTGCCTCTCTGGTCCTTCCCTATGCAAACCCATGGTTCAGTGGTTGGCAGCTGCTTCCAGGAGGTAGGAGCAGATAGGCTGAGGGACATCCACGGCAAGCCTGTCAGCATAGAGGCTATAGTGGGTTTTTTCTTTGTAGGCTTTGTAGAATTTAGGTGGCCAGGCAGGAGCTGGTGGTTTGGTAATTCTAAAATTGTTTAAAAGACGAGTAATTTAGTCTGGGATGCGCCAGTGAGATTGGGAGGTTACAAAGGTCTCCCCAGCTGAGGCTCATTGACAATTCCTAGATGAGAAAGCAAGTTCAGCTGAACTGGGTGGCTGTTCCCTTCCTGCCTGGCTGCCAGGTGCAGTACTGCTACTGAAGCTGCTGACAGGCACGGCTCTCTGACTGGACACCAGCTGAAGCCTGCAGGCAATTGCTGCCTGCTGTTTTGGTCAGGTGTAGTAAATTCTAAAAATTGGGCCAGGGCTTGTGTGCAGTCCAGCCCTGTAGCATGAACTAGTACTTTGTAAGGAGGTCTTGAATCTGTCATGGGTGCATGCATGCATGTAGGTTAGCTATCCAGCTGTAATAAAGTCTTGCTATAGGAGTTTTTATATTTCTAGGTATATGCCATTTGTTGATAAAAGGTCTAATGTGCTTGTATATGTGCTGTATTGCTAGAACCACTTAATAAAAAAAAAAAAGTGGTTAGAAAGCTGGAGCACAGGGAGAAGCTCCTTTAAAACTTGTCTGGACAAGATTTTTGGAAAAAAAAGAAGCTATCTTTAAAAAAAATAAATATATTGTAGCTCTACCTACATGTTTCCACTTACATCCTGTTTATTTTCTTTGTATTGGCCTGGGTTAACTCTGCCCCCTACAGCATTCATCATGCTGGTATAGAAAACAGAAAGTTCTGTAGATTGCCTAGAAGGAATTTCTCTGAGCCTTGATGTTAAGATGGTCAGTGAATTAGAGAAAATTGTAGTGTGAAATACAGTAAAGTAAAATGATGTTATGATATGCATGACTTGCATCTATGACTAATGATGTAAGTATGATGTATGACATTTAAGTCATCCTTGCCGCTGTAGTCATCTGGCTATGGAAGCAAAGGGTCTGGACAGGAGCAGGTGTTTGGGTAATTCTGAAAATTGCGTGGAAGAGAAAGGCGGCAGTTTAATCCAGCTCATACATACAGCCAATTGGAATTGCTGACCTACCACACAACTGATTGAATTTTAATGAGGTGAATTATCTCTGCATTAAGCTGGTTGATATGCTTGTGGTTGTGGTTTGAACAAACTCGGGGTTTTGCATAGGTCCAAACCAGAAATAAACTGGAAGAGAAAACCTGGGAAACAGCTCTTTAACTCTTTTCCAATTAGATTAATGGCCATGTATTCACTAGGGACCTACACTGTATTCTTAGCTTGTTATTTTGCCTGAGTAAAATTTTTATGAAAACACAAAAATGTATAGTCCTTAGACTATGTTTTCCCACTCAAAATCTTTCCTGGTTGGGGTTAGGAAGCAGTACAGGCTTTGTAAGCAGCATGCTCATATGATTTTAATAGACTTGTTCTTGGGCTGCTGCTTTTCCTTTTCTTTCTCATTCCTAATGAGAATAGGGCTGGAGGAATTATTAATGTCAGCAGCAGTAGTAGTAGAAAGGTGCATGCAGCACACCTGGGTGCCAAACAAGAAGGTGTTTGGAAAGATGAGCAAACCCACTTGATAGCCTAGGGGTGCACTCCATTTTGTGACTGCTCTGCACAGGCACAAAGGAGTTCACCTGGCTGAGAAGGCTGCTGCTAGTGTATTTAGGGAAGGTAAGATAAATTAACCCTACAAAAAGCTAAGTCTACATTCAAAAAAAAAAATCCAAACACAACATATGTGGAGGAATGGGACAATGTATTGTACTGAAGTACAGTGGCATATTGATTCTGGTCTGTCATAGTATTAAGAGATGGGGATAAAAGCAGGTGGCAATTGCAGAGTGCCAGTAAATTTTTTTTTTTTTTTAGTATTTGCAAGCAGCATAAGCAAGAAAGCCCAGAGGAATAAGGAAAAGGTTGAAGTGCTTTATGCTTTATATGCTGCTATAGAAACAATGTGAAACTTCTTAAGCAAAACCAGCATAAAGTAGGCTGTCCTTATTTACAGCACATGCAAACTTTTTATTAAGAACATCAGGCTGGTGGTATATTTGAAGAAACTCAGAGGGTTTTTGTTTTCTTTTCTTACTGAATGTTTGCATGTATTCTAGTCCTTTGGCAGTAGGCGTATCTGTGAGCATATACAATTCATAAATGGGCATCTACAGCTAA